GTGAACCCCTTTCCACCACCAGGTGAGTCAACCTAGGCCAAGTCTTATGTTTGACTGCTTGCAGCAAGATGTGGTCTGTGGAGGCCTCAAGAGAGCCTTACTTTCCCTTTGGAAGCTTTCCAGGTGCCTTGTTTCTTTGATTTTAGCCATTTACAGAGTGGAATGTTTTTAGTTTGACAAACAATTAGAGGGATCTCATTGTGTCATTTCTGCTGATATTTTAAAATTTGCCTTTTGGATAATGTTGATTATTAATTTGTAGCAATAACAATAGCAAGTACATTTCTATACCACTTATCAGTGCACTTAAGGACTCCCTAAGCAGTTTACAACTGTAATTTATTTTAATTTTTTTTTTAAAAAAATGAATCTTAAATTTAGTTTATTTATATTTGTTTAACTGGGAGATATTATTTAGCAGAAATATAGATGGCCCTCCACATTTACCATTTTGACTTTTGCAGATTTGATTGTTTGTAGTTTTGATTCATATGTTCTCTTTAGGAATCTATAGGTCCTCCAGCACAACTCTACCAGAAGTTGATGATAGAGTTGTGCTGGAGAACCTAGAAGTTCCTAAAGAAAACACTTCTCTACGCATTTGTAGATCCACCAGCATAATTCTATGATCAACTTCTGGTAGATGCTGACCATGGAGTTGCACTGGAGGACCTGGAGATTCCTAGAGAGGTTTTCCCTTAGGTAAAAAGAATAGTATTCTTTTATTTGTGGTTTTTCTACATTCACAGGAGTCTTTCACTCCTAACCTTAACAAATATGGAGGGACCACTGTACAACTAAAAATCATAATAAAGTACATTAGTAAATCAACTAGTTGCCTATATAGTGTTTTAGTCTGGTTAAGTTACTTTATATGAATCCCGAGTTTAGTTACAATTTAAAAAGTTGCTCCTCTTTCTGATAAGCAAAATACTCCTTTACAAAGTAACAAAATACTGACTGAGATGCAACATTGCTACGCCTTGTGGAAGGCCTTAAGCTCTGCTTAATATACTATCCAGAGAAAAGTACAACCAGCGAAGATTCTCTAAAATAAGAATTTGACAGGTTTCTGCAACTTAAGCAGACAAAGCTCTTGCTCAAAAACTGTTGTACTGCAAATACTGGCCACGTCACATAGCTCGATATTTTGCCTCCAATAACAACAGCAGTTAGTAGCTAGCATGTTTAGGACCAATGAGGAGCTGCAACAGCACCTACCTGACTTGCCTGCTGCCACTCTAACGAAGAGCACATTATATAAATTATACATTTTGATAACTGCTATTATGTTACATGATTTTTAAGTTACATCTGCATGAATCCAAAATGAATATGACTTTTAAAAATATTTAACTCTAGTTGCACAAACCTTTCATGCTGCATAGGTACCCGTATCTTCCGGCGTATAAGATGACTGGGTGTATAAGACAACCCCCAACTTTTCCAGTTAAAATATAGAGTTTGGGATATACTCGCCATATAAGATGAGCCCTCTTCCAACAGGGGAAAATGAGAAAGTGTTGGGGGAAAGGATGCCAATATACTAGGTGATGCATTCTGGGGTATGTACAATTTGCGGC